ACAAACAAAAGCTGACAGATTTCATCAACAGCAGATCTATCCTATAAGAAATGCTAAAAAGATTTCTTCAATCTGAAAGAAAAAGACATTAATTACCAATAATAAATTATCTGAAGGTATAAAACTTATTAGTAATAACAACACACAGAGTATTATAACACTGCAATTGTGCTGTGTAAAATACTCTTAAGTAGAAAGACTAAATGATGACCCAATCAAAAATAATAATTACAACAACTTTTCAAGACATAGATAGTACAGGCCGGGTGCAGTGGTTGACACCTGTAATCCCAGCACTTTGGGAGGCCGAGGCGGGCAGATCACCTGAAGTCAGGAGTTTGAGATCAGCCTGGCCAACATGGTGAAACCCCGACTCTACTAAAAATACAACAAGTAGCCGGCATGGTGGCGGGTGCCAGTAATCCCTGCTACTCAGGAGGCTGGGGCAGGAGAATTGCTTGAACCCGGGAGGCAGAGGCTGCAGTGAGCCAAGATCACCCCACTGCACTCCAGCCTGGGTGAAAAGAGGGAAACTCCGTCAGGAAAAAAAAAAAAAAAAAAGACATAGACAGTACAATAAGACATACAGAGAAAACAAAAAGTTAAAAAGGGAAATTAAGTTAAAGTGTAGTTTTCATTAGTTTTCTTTTTGCTTGTTGGTTGGTTTATGCAATCAGTGTTAAGTTGTCATTAGTTTAAAATAATGGGTTATAAGAGTATTTGCAAACCTCATGGTAACCTCAAAGCAAAACACATACGATGGGGCTGGGCATGGTGGTTCATGCCCATAATTCCAGCACTTTGGGAGGCCGAGGTGGGAGGATCACTTGAGCCTAGGAGTTCAAGAAAAGTTCAGCCTGGGAAACATGACAAAACCCCATCACTACAAGAAATACAAAAAGTTATCTGGGTGTGGTGGCACGTGCCTGTAGTCCAAGCTACTTTGGAGGCTGAGGTGGGAAGATCTCTTGAGCCTGGGAAGTCTAGGGTACAGTGAGTCAAGATCGTGCCACTGCACTCCAGCCTGGGTAACAGAGCAAGACTCTGTCTGGAAAAAAAAAAAAAAAAGATACAATGGAGACACAAAAAAATAAAACAAGAAATTAAATCGTGCCACCAGAAAAAAATTACCATCACTAAAAGGAAGACAGGAAGGAAGGAAAGAAGGAAGGAAGAGAAGACCAAAAAACAACCAGAGAACAAATCACAAAATGGCAGGAAAAAGTCTCAACTTACCAATAAAAAAAATTGAATGTAAATGGACTAAACTCTCCAATCAAAAGATAGAGTGGCCGAATGGATAAGAAAAAGCAAGAAACAATGATCTGTTGTGTACAAGAAGCACACTTCATCTGTAAAGATACGCTGAAAATAAAGGGATGGAAAAAGATATTCCATGCCAATGGAAACCAAAAAAGAGTAGGAGTACCTGTACTTATATCAAACAAAATAGATTTCAAGACAAAAAGCTGTAAGAAGAGACAAAGGAGACCATTACATAATGATTAAGTGGTCAATTCAGCAAAAGGATATAACAATTGTAAATCTCTATGCACCCAACACTGGTGCACCCACATATATAAAGCAAATATTATTAGAGCTAAAGAGAGAGATAGGCCACAATACAATAATAGCTGGAGACTTCAACACCTCACTTTCAGCACTGGACAGATCATTCAGACAGAATATCAACAAAGAAATATCAGATTTAATCTGTACTATAGACCAAATGGATCTAATAGATATGAACATTTCGCAGATATATTAAATGTATATTCTGCAGGTGTTCTGTAAATACCTATTAATATTTCTCCTCAGCACATGAATCATTCTCAAGGATTGACCATATGTTGTCACAAAATAAGTCTGAAAATATTCAAAAGAATTGAAAAATTATTCAATTTCAAGCATCTTCTCTGACTACAATGGAATAAAGCCAGAAATCAGTAATGGGGAATTTAGGAAACTATACATGAAAATTAAATAATATGTTCTTAAATGATCAGTGGTCAATGGTAAATGAATGGTCAATGAAGAAATTAAGAGGGAAATTGAAAAAAAAATCTTGAAACAAATGGTAATGGAAACACAGCATACCAAAACCTATGGGATAGAGCAAAAGCAGTACTAAGAGAGAAATTTATAGCTAAAAGTGCCTACATCAAAAAAGAAGAAAAACTTCAAATAAATAACCTAATGATGTATCTTAAAGAACTAGGGAAGGAAGAGCAAACCATGCCCATAATTAGTAGAAGAAAATAATAATAAAGATCAGAGCAGAAGCAAAAGAATTTAAAATGAAGAATATACAAAAGATGAAATGAAAGAAAAAGTTGCTTTTCTGAAAAGACATATAAAATTGGCAAACCTTTAAGCCAGACTAACTAAGAAAGAGACAAGATTCAAATAAATAAAACCAGAGATTTAAAACGAGACATTACAACTGATACCGCAGAAATTCAAAGGGATTATTAGCAGCTACCATGAGCAACTGCATGCCAACAAACTGGAAAATCTAGAGGAAATGTATAAATTCCTAGACACATACACCTATCAAGTTTGAACCATGAAGAAATCCAAAACCTGAACAGATAAATAACAAGTAATGAGACTGAAGCCATAACAGAATTCTCCCAGTAAAGAAAAGCTCAAGACCCAATGGCTTCACTGCTGAATTCTACCAAATATTTAGAGAATTAATACCAATCCTACTCAAACTATTCCCAAAAATAGAGGAGGAAGGAATACTTCAAAACTCATTGTACAAGGTCAGTATTACCTTGATACCAAAGCTAGACAAGACACATCAAAAAAAGAAAACCACAGGCCAATATCTCTGATAAATTCTGATACAAAAACCCTCAACAAAATACTAGGAAACGGAATTCAACAATACATTAAAAAGATCAGCCGGGTGCAGTGGCTCATGCCTGTAATCCTAGCACTTTGGGAGGCCAAGGCGGGGGATCACGAGGTCAGGAGTTCGAGGCCAGCCTGGCCAGCATGGTGAAACCCCGTCTCTACTAAAAATACAAAAAAATGGCCAGGCATGGTGGCGCACACCTGTAGTCGCAGTTACTCAGGAGGCCGAGGCAGAAGAATTACCTGAACCCGGCAGGCAGAGGTTGCAGTGGGCCAAGATTGTGCCACCACACTCCAGCCTGGGTGACAGAAAGAGACTCCATCTCAAAAATAAAAATAAAAAATCATTCATGGATGGCCATGGGGTCTCATGCCTACAATCCTAGTACTTTGGGAGGCCGAGGCGGGAAGACTGCTTGAGCCCAGGAGATTGAGACCAGCCTAGGCAATATAGCAAGACTTTGTCTCTACAAAAAAAATTTGAAAATTAGCCAGGCATGATTGTCCATCCCTGTAGTCCCAGCTACTTGGGAGGCTGAGTTGGGAGGACCATTTGAGCCTGGGGGTGTCGAGGTGGCAGTGAGCCATGATCATGTCACTGCACTCCAGTCTGGGTGATAGAGACTGTCTCAAAAAGATCATTCATCATGACCAAATGGGATTAATCCCAGGGATTCAACGATGGTTCAACATACACAAATCAATCAATGTGATACATCATGTGAACAGAATGAAGAACAAAAATTGTATGATCATTTCAATTAAGTAACTCTCAAAATGTAAGCATATAAAAGCAAACATTACTGTAAGACAAGAATAGATATTTCAAAGAAGAGGATATGCAGATAGAAAATTAGCACATGAAGAGCCGTACGTCATTTCGAAAGGCCAATGCATATTAAACCCTCAATTAAATATTACCATATACCTATCAGAATGGCTAAGTGGTGGGCAGATCATGAGGTCAGGAGATCGAGACCATCCTCGCTAGTGAAACCCCGTCTCTACTTAAAAAATACAAAAAAATTAGCCAGGCATGGTGGCACATGCCTATAGTCCCAGCTACTCGGGAGGCTGAGGCAGGAGAATAGCTTGAACCCAGAAGACAGAGGTTGCAGTGAGCCAAGATCGCACCACTGCACTCCAGCCTGGGTGACAGAGCGAGACTCCATCTCAAAAAAAAAAAAAAGCAAACATACCAAATGCTGGTAAGAATGCAGAGAAACTGAATCACTCATACACTGCTGATGGGAATGTAAAATGGCACAGTCACTCTGGAAATCGTTGACAGTTTCTTATTACACTATACATGCAATTACTATACCACCCAGCAGTTAATTGTACTCGGGCATTTATCACAGAAAAATGAAAAACATTATGTTCACACAAAAACCTGTACTCTGGTTCTCATACCTGCTTTACTTGTAATAACCAAAAACAACAATCTAGATGTCCTTCAGTGGGTGACAAGCCATGATAAATCCATACCATGAAATAGTACTCAGCAATAAAAAGGAAGGAATTTCTAATATACACAAAAACTTGTATGAATCTCCAGGGAATTATGCTATGTGGAAAAATGCAATCTCAAAAGGTTAAATGGTATATCAGTCCATTTATCAAACCAATGGTGTATCAGTCCATTCTTACAATGACAAAATTATAAAAAGGGAGAATATACTAGTAGTTGTATGGGATAAAGATGAGGCCAGGGAAGGAATGACATGAAGGAGTAGATATGGTTATAAAAAGTCAGTAAGAGAGTCCCTGGAAGTCATGGGACAGTTCTGTATCATGACTAGATACAGTTAGGTTTATTTATGACTGAACGCAGATGTCATAAAATTCCAGACAACTGGATACTCTCTCTCTCTCTCTCTCTCTCTCTCTCACACACACACACACACACACACACACACACGTACTCACACACATACAAATGAATACATGAAAAGCTGAGGACATCTGAATAGATCTGGTGATTGTATCAACGTCAAAACCCTAGTTGTGATATTTTACTATATTTTTCTAAAACAGTACTATTGGGGGAAACTGGGTAAAGGTACACAAGATCTCTCTGTATTCTTTCAATCCAGATTAAAGAGTGCTACTTGTAACACATATCATTTCAAACTCACCAAAATTGGGAGTGAGGCAGGCAGATGCTGAAGCATCATCTTGGTCACAGCTATTTTGCATTACAGTTGAGTAACTCATTGTCCCAGAATTCATTTGTGGGCCAGATTCTGTTTTGAACAACATTTCAATATGTAAAACATTTTCTAGTGCTGAAAGACAAGAAATCTCAACCATGTTTTTTGTAACAGGAGAAACTATCCTTCGGGAATAAAAGAAAAACAAAGACATTCTTAGACAAAGAAAAACTTTAAAAAGTGGTCACTGGCTGACTTACCCTTAAAGAACAACTAAAGGAAGATCTTCAAACTGAAAGGATATGATTAAGGAAGGAATCTTGCAGCATCAGGAAGGAAGAAAGAACAACACAAAGAGCAGAAATATGGGCATGGAGAAACTAGGTCACTCACACGTTGCTGGTGGGGGTAGAAAATTGTACACTCTGGAAAACAACTTGGCAGTATTTTATAAAACTAAACATACCATTACCATAGGACCCAGCAACTGCACTCTTGGGCAGTATCTCAGAGAAATGAAAACTTGTATTCACACAAAACCTATATGGTGTATGAGTGTTTATAGCAGCTTTACTTCTAATAGCCAAAACCAGGAAACAACCTAGATGTCTTTCAATACCTGAAAAGATAAACAAACCACAGTACATCTACACCATGGAATAGTACTCAGCAACAAAAAAGAAGGAACCATTTGGGGGCTTGCCTGTGGTAGAGGATACATGAACCTAATTAGACATATGATAAAAACTGAACTAAAACACATACATACACATGCACATAAATAAATACAAGTAAAACTGGGGACATCTCAATAATATCTGCAGAAGGTATCACGTCAACATCCTGTTTGTGATAATTTCTTATAGTTTTGCAAGATGTTACTTTTGGGGAAAAATGGTAATGGAAACACAGATTTCTCTGTATTATTTATTATAACTGCATGTGTAGCTAAATTTTTCTGAAAATAAAAACTTTAATTAGAAAAAGCTACCAATATCTTGCACTACGGATGCCAATCAATCTAGATTAAATAGTGCTGCATATAGCAAGTATCATTTCAAACTCACCGAAATTGCAAGGGACGCTGTGAAATAATGAGGAAACATTCTGGCGACTGTTGTTTTCTAATAAAGGTTGGTAATTTGTTTTCACAGACCTCTTTACTGAGCTGGTTCGTGCTTTTCCCAATGTTTCTATAAATAAAATATTTCAAATATTGAAAGACAATACATTTCAATCATGAATTCTACATCAGGCAAAAGTGTCCTTCAAATATAGAGAAGATAAAGACATTCTCACATGAGGGAAAACTAAAGTGTTTGCCACTAGCTGACATACACTTAAAGAATGGCTAAAGGAAAATCTTCAAACAGAAAAGAATGATGAAAAAGCAAATCTTGGAGCATCAAAAAGGAAGAAAAAACAATGAAAGCAGGGGAAATATGCATGCGGAGAAACCGGATCATTCATACATAATTGGAGAGAACGTAAAATGATACAGTCTCTCTGGAACACCATTTGGCAGTTTCTTATAAAACTAAACATGCAATTACTACACAACCAAGCCTTTTTACTCTTGGACATTTATCCAAGAAAAATCAAAACTTATGTTTATACAAAAATCTGTACATCAGTGGCCATTGCAACTTTACTTGTAATAGTCAAAAACTAGAAACAGCCACAATATCTTCCAATGGATGAATGAATAAGCCAACTGTGAAACATCCATACCATGGAATAGTGTCCACAATAAAAACTAAGGACCACTCATACATCCAGCCAGTCAGATGAATATTCGGGGAATTATGTACTGAGGCAGGTGTGGTTATAAAAGAGCAAGATAGGCCGGGCGTGGTGGCTCACGCCTGTAATCCCAGCACTTTAGGAGGCCAAGGCAGGTGGATCACTTGGTGCCAGGAGTTGGAGGCAAGCCTGGGCAACACGGTGAAATCCCATCTCTACAAAAACTATAAAAAAAAAAAAAAAGCCAGAGTTGGGTGCAGTGGTTCATGCCTGTAATCCCAGCACTTTGGGAGGCCGAAGCAGGCAGATCACTTGAGGCCAGGAGTTCAAGACCAGCCTGGCCAACACAGTGAAACCTCGTCTCTACCAAAAAATACAAAAATTACCTTGGCGTGGTGGCACATGCCTGTAATCCCAGGAACTTGGGAGGCTGAGGCACGAGAATCGCTTGAACCCAGGAGGTGGAGGTTGCAGTGAGCTGAGACTGCACCACTGCACTCCAGCCTGGGCGACAGATGGAGATATTTGAGACTCTGTCTCAAAAGAAAAGAAAAGAAAAGAGAAAAGAAAAGAAAAAAGAAAGAGTAAAATGAGGCATCTTGGTAATCATGGAAATGTGTATCTTGATCATGGCAGTGGGAATCAAACCTACTCATGTGACAAAACTGGGTAGAACTAAATGCACGCAAACAATTTAACACAATTAAGTGGGAGATCTCAATAAGATGTGTGGATAATATCAATGTCAATATTCTGGTTGTGATGTTCTGTTACAGTTTTGCAAGATGTTATTGTTGGGAGGAATAGGTAAAGTGGAAGGGGTATTTCTCTGCATTGTTTCTTACAACTACCTGTATATCTTAAATGACCACAAAATTAAAAGTTTAGTTTAAAAAAATCTACCGCTAGTTTTACATTAAGGACTTTGATGGATGTAGATTAAACAGTGCTACTAATAACATGTATAATTTCAAATTCACCAAACTTGGGAGGAATGGAGAGCGATAAAGAGGCGTTACCTCGGCTATGGCCCCTTCCTGATGAAGTTGGGTAATTCTCTGTCTGAGTATTGTTTTTTACGTTAGTTCCTGCTGTTTCTGGCATTTCTATAACTTTTTCAAGTACTGAAAGAAAAGAACTCTCAACTATGAATTTTATACTGGGTGAAATTGTCCTTCAGGAAAGAAGGGAAAATAAAAACATTCTCACAAAACGGAAAATTAAAGGAATTTGTCCCTCGCAGATTTACCCTTTAAAAATGGCTATAGGAAAACCTCCAAACAGAAAAGATACTACAAGAGAAGAAATCTTGGAGTATCCGGAAAGAAGAAAGAATGATGGAAAGATCAGAAATACAGATATGGAGAAACTGGATCACTCATACATTGCTGTTGGAAATAAACAATAGTACAGCCTCTCTGGGAAACTATTGGGCAGTTTCTTATAAAACTAAACATGCTAGTACCATACGACTCAGCAATTGTTCTCTTGGTATTCATGACAGAGAAATGAAAACTTATATTCACCCAAAAACCAGGACACAGTACATGAATGTTCAAAGTGGCTTTACTTGTAATATCCAAAAATTGAAAGAAAAAACCAGATGTCTTTCAATAGGTGAATGGTTTAAAAAAAAAAAAAACTGTTCCTATCTGTACCATGGAAAAGAAGGAACTATTCATCAATAGAAAGAAAGGAACTACTGAGAAATGAAAACTTACATTTATACAAAAATGTGTACATGAAGATTCATAGAAGCTTTACACCCAGTAGACAAAAAATAAAAATAAAATAAAAACACAAAAAACCCACCAGACGTTCCTCAGCAGGTGAATAGTTGAACAAAACATAGTATATCCAGACATGCAATACTATTCAGCAATAGGAATAAACTATTAATAGAAAAAACAACCTGGACGAGTCTCTAGGAAATTAAGCTGAGTGAAAAAAATCCAATTCCAAATATGATTCCACTTATATAACAATTGAAAGAGACAAAATTATAGCGGTAGAGAAGAGATCAGTGGAAGCCAGGTGTTAGAAATGGGTCATGAGGTGTTACGGAAGGGTGACCTGAGAGAGTTGGTGTGGTTATCAAAGGCAACACAACAGCGCCTCGTGCTGATGGAAATGATCTCTACCTTGACTGTGGTGGTGGGCACACAAACCTACTTGTGGAATAAAGCTGCATAGTACTAAACACACACACACACAAATAAATACAAGTAAAATGGGACATCTCTATAAGATCTGTGGCTTGTATAAATGTGAATATCCTGGGTTGTAATATTTCTGTTGTATTTTTGCTAAATGTAATTATTGGGGGAAATTAGGTAAAGGGTAGTCAGGATTTTTCCGTCTTATTTCTTATACCTGTGTATGATTTCTGAACTATCTCAATATGAAAAGTTTAATTTGTAAAAAGCTATCACTAAGAATTAATATTAAGAATGTTGATGAATCTAGATGAGAGGGCTGCTTGTGATATCCATTATTTCAAACTTACCAAAATTAGAAGTGATGGGAAGATTTGAAGACGCTGGATTTGGGACACTCATATTTCCCAATAAAGATGGGTAATACACTGTCTGAGAGTTATTTTCCATGTTGGTTTCTGTTGTTCCTGGCATTTCAATAAGTATAATTTTCTCAGCTACTGAAAAAAAAAACAGAATGCTCAATCATAAATTCTACATGAGGCAAAACTATCCTTCTGGAAAAAAGGTAAAGACATTTCTCAAACAAAAGAAAACTAAAAGAATCTGTCCCTAGCCGACTTATCCATATGAAATCTCCAGGCCTGGTGCAGTGTCTCACGCCTACAATCCCAAAACTTTGGGAGGCAGAGACAAATGGATTGCCTGAGCCCAGAAGTTCAAGACCAGCCTGGATAACATGAGACCCCATCTCTACAAAAAAAAAAAAAAATTAAAAATTAGCCAGGAGTGATAGCAAGTACCTGTAGTCCTAGCTGAGTCAGGAGGCTGAGGGAGCGTCACTGGAGCCCAGGAGGTGGAGGCTGCAGTGAGCCATGATCGCACCACTGCACTCCAGCCTGGATGACAGAGTGAAAAGAAAGAAAGAAAAGAAAGAGAGGAGAGGAGAGGAGAGGAGAGGAGAGGAGAGGGAAAGGAAAGGAAGAAGAAAGAGAGAGAGAGAAAGAGCGAGAGAAAGAGAGAGAAAGAGAGAGGAAGGAAGGAAGGAGGGAAGGAAGGAAGGAAGGAAGGGAGCGGAGGGAGGGAGGGAGGGGGAAGGAGGAAATGTTAAACAGTAAGATTATGATGAAAGGAATCCCTGGAGCATCAGGGAAGAAAAAAGACCTATAGAACAGACCAAGAAATACAGGCCAGGCACAGTGGCTCACCTGTAACTCCCAACCACTATGGCAGGCCGAAAGGTGGAGTGGATCCCTTGAGGTCAGGAGTTTACAGACCTAGGCAGTAGCCAAGCGCAGTGGCAAAACCCCATTTCTACTAAAAATACACAACAATTCACCGGGCGGTGGGTGGTGATGTGCCTGCTAATCCCAGCTACTTGGGGACCTGAGGCAGGAAGAATTGCCTTGAACCTGGGAAGTGAGGTGCAGTAAGCCGAGATAATCAGCTGCGCACTCCAGCTGCAACAGAGTGACTCTGTCTCAATTAAAAAAAAGAAAGGAGAAAAAAAAGAAAGGTAAGAAATGTAAATATGGAGAAACTGGATCACCCATACAAGTAAAGCCGTTCTGGAAAAATGTTTGGCAGTTTCTTATAAAACTAAACATGCTAGTACCATAAGACCCAGCAATTGTGCTCTTGACATTCATGACAGAGAAATGAAAACTTATATTTATCAAAAAAACAGTACAGGAATGTTCAGAGCAGTTTAGTCCTAATACCAAAGAGCGGAGAGGGGGGAAATAATGACCTTCAATTGGTAAATGGTTAAAAACAACTACTGTATATCCAAACCATGGAAGATTATCAGAAAAAAAAAAAAGAGGAACAGCTGATACACACAACAACCTGTATAAGTCTTTAGAGAATCATACTGACTGAAAACAAAACAAAAAAAAAACCTACCTGCCATAAGATTCCCTTTATATTACACTCTTAAAGTCACAAAATTATAGAAGCCAGTGTTTGTCAGGAGCTAGGGAACAGTCAATGGGGAAGAAAAGGGTGACCTGAGAGAGGTGGGGGTGGTTATCAAAGATGAGGCAGCCTGGTGGTGATGGAAATGTTCTGTCTTGACTGTGGTGGTGAGAATCAAACCTATTCATGGAAAAAAATTTGCAAAGAAAGAAATACAGATACACCCACAGATTATTATAACTAAAACTGGGGATATCTCAGTTATATCTGTGTATTTTATCAATGTCAATATCCTGTTGTGTTAATTTACTATAGTTTTGTAAGATGGTGTTGTTGGGAGAAAAGGGTAAAGCATAAAGGGGATCATTTCTATTATTTCTTACAAATACATGTGAATCTAAAATTATTTTAAAATAAAAATGGCTGGGCACAGTGGCTCACGCCTATAATCCCAGCACTTTGGGAGGCTGAGGAGGGCAGATCACCTAAGGTCAGGAGTTAGAGACCAGTCTGGCCTACATGGTGAAACCCCGCCTCTACTAAAACTACAAAAATTAGATGGGCATGGTGGCATGCCCTATAGTTCAAGCTACTTAGGAGGCTGAGGCAGGAGAATCTCTTGAACCCAGGAGGCGGAGGTTGCAGTGAGCCGAGACCACACCACTGCACTCCAGCCTGGGTGACAAAGTGAGACTCCATCTCAAAAAAATAAAAATAAAGTTTAATTTTAAAAATGAGCTGCTACAACTAGCTTGCATTAAGGATGTTAATCGATCCAGATTCAATAGTGTCACTTGTAATGCAGCATCTGAAACTCACCAAAATTAGGTGTGTAGCCGGCAGATAAAGAGGAACAACATGGGCTGCTGCCATTTCCCAAAGAAATTGGGTAATTCATTGTCTGAGGGTTGCTTTCCAGCCTGGTTTCTGCAATTGTTGGCATACCTACAGAAAGAACATTTTTCAAGTGGTTAGGAACTCTCAACCGTGAATTTATACATAGTGAAATTCTCCTTGAGTAATGATATGGTTTGGCTGTGTCCCCACCCAAATCTCACCTTGAATTGTATCTCCCAGAATTCCCACATGCTGTGGGAGGGACCCAGGGGGAGGTAATTGAACCATGGGGGCCAGTCTTTCCCATGCTATTCTTGTGATAGTGAATAAGTCTCATGAGATCCGATGGGCTTATCAGGGGTTTCTGCTTTTGCTTCTTCCTTATTTTTCTCTTGCCACTACCATGTAAGAAGTGCCTTTCACCTCCTGCCATTATTCTGAGGCCTCCCCAGCCATGTGGAACTATAAGTCCAATCAAACCTCTTTTTGTTCTCAGTTTTGGGTATGCCTTTATCAGCAGTATGAAAACAAACTAATATGAGTAATTAACAGGCAATAAGGACATTCTCACATGAAGGAAAACTAGGATTACTTATCCCGCATAGACTTGCCCTTAAAGAAAGGCCAAAGGAAAATCTTTATGCAGAAAGGATATGATGGAAAAAAATGGGTCTTTGGGCATCGGGAAGAAAGAAAGAAGAGAAAGAGCAGAAATATGCATGCAGAGAAATTGGATCACTCAGATATTACTGGTGAGGAGATAAAATGATACATCCCCGCCTTTCTACCCATGGACTCCACTGAAGAAGCATCATTAAAGTCTCTCTTCTCCCTGCCGTCATGTCTAAGTCAGAGTCTCCTAAAAAACCCCAACAACTGAGGAAGCTCTTCATTGGAGGGTTGAGCTTTGAAACAACCAATGAGAGCCTGTGAAGCCATTCTGAGCAATGGGGAACGCTCATGGACTGTGTGGTAATGACAGATCCAAACACCAAGTGCTCCAGGAGCTTTGGGTTTGTCATATATGCCACTGTGGAGGAGGTGAATGCAGCCATGAATGCAAGGCCACACAAGGTGGATGGAGGAGTTTTGGAACCAAAGAGAGTTGTCTCAAGAGAAGATTCTAAAAGACCAGGTGCCCACTTAACTGTGAAAAAGATATTTTTTGGTGGCATTAAAGAAGACACTGAATAACATCACCCAAGAGATTATTTTGAACAGTATGGAAAAATTGAAGTGATTGAAATCATGACTTGACCGAGGCAGTGGCAAGAAAAGGGGTTTTGCCTTTGTAACCTTTGATGACCATGACTCCGTGGATAAGACTGTCATTCAGAAATACCATACTGTGAATGGCCACAACTGTGAAGTTAGGAAAGCCCTGTCAAAGCAAGAGATGGCTAGTGCTTCATCCAGCCAAAGAGGTCGAAGTGGTTCTGGAAACTTTGGTGGTGGTCGTGGAGGTGGTTTCAGTGGGAATGACAACTTTGATCGTGGAGGAAACTTCAGTGGTCATGGTGTCTTTGGTGGCAGCCGTGGTGATGGTGGATATGGTAGCAGTGGGGATGGCTATAATGGATTTGGTAATGACGGAAGCAGTTTTGGAGGTGGTGGAAGCTACAATGATTTTGGCAATTACAACAGTCTTCAAATTTTGGACCCATGAAGGGAGGAAACATTGGAGGCAGAAGCTCTGGCCCCCATGGTAGTGGAGGCCAATACTTTGCCAAACCACGAAACCAAGGTGGCTATGGTGGTTCCAGTAGCAGCAGTAGCTATGGCAGTGGCAGAAGATTTTAACTAGGAAACAAAACTTAGCAGGAGAGGAGAGCCAGAGAAGTGACAGGTAAGCTACAGGTGACAACAGATTTGTGAACTGAGCCAAGCACAGTGGTGGCAGGGCCTAGCTGCTATGAAGAAGACATGTTTTAGACAAATACTCACATGTATGGGCAAAAATTCGAGGGCTGTATTTGTGACTAATTGTATAACAGGTTATTTTAGTTTCTGTTCTGTGGAAAGTATAAAACATTCCAACAAAGAGTTTTAATGTAGATTTTATTTTCTTGCATCCATGCTGTTCATTGCTAAGTGTAATAGTCTGATCATTACACTGAATAAATGTCTTTTAAAAAAAAGATACAGCCCCTCTGAAAAAAAGTTTAGCATTTTCTTATAAAACTAAATATGAAGTACCATATAACCCAAAATTGCATGCAAACTTGTTTACACAAAAACCAGTACATAAATGTTCATAGAGCTTTACTTGTATTGACCAAAAATAGAAAACACCCCTGATGTCATTCAATGAATAAACAGATAAACAGTTATACATCACTACTATGGAATAGTACTCAACAATAAAAATGGAGGAACTATTGATGCATACAACAATTGGTATGAATCTCGAGAAAATTATGTTTAGTGAAAAAAAAGCCATGCTCAAAAGGTTACACAGCATTTAGTTGCATTTAAGTAACAACATTCAAATAATGAAATTCTGGCAAGCAAAGTGAGATTGCTGACTATCAGTAGTTAAGATAGGGCAAGATGAGAGAGAAGGGAGATCAGGGGAGGTGGTTGTGGTCATAAAAGAACAATATAAAGGATCCTTGTAGTGATGATGGAAATGTTCTGTATTGTAACTAATAGTGGACATGTAAATTGACTCATGATTAAATTTCATAGAACTAAATACACACACACTGATGTAGATTTAATCAATGCCAATATCCTGGTTGCAGGATATAGTTCCTTAAGATGTTATCATTGAGGAAAATGGGTAAAGTACACATGGGATCTCTGTACAGTTTCTTACAACCACATGTTAATTCAAAATTATCTCAAAATAAAAAGGCTAGTTTTTTTGTTTTTTTTTTTTTTAAGAGCTATCACTGACTTGCATTCAGGATGTTGATGGAAAATAAACTCTCAGCCACAAATTCTACGCCCAGCAAAACTATCCTTAAAGAATGTTAGGAAAATAAAGACATTTTCAAATGCAGGAAAACTAAAGAAACCTGAAAGAAAGGCTGAAGAAAAGTATTCAAACAGAAAGGAATTGATGAAAAAAGAAAATATAGAGCATCCAGAAGGAAGAACAACAGAAATAACAGAAATATGAATGTGGAGAAACTGGATCACTCACGCATTGCTGGTGGAAATGGAAGATAATACAGACTCTCTGGAAAACTATTTGACAGTTTCTTATAAAACTAAACATGCTAGTACCATAAGGCTCAGCAATTACACTCATGGCATTCATGACAGAGAAATGAAAACTTATATTTACAGAAAAACCTGTTCATGACTGTTCATAGCGGCTTCACTCCTAATATCCAAAAACTGGAAAAAAACAATTTGATGCCTTTTCAATGGGTGAATGGCTAAACAAACTGTGGCATAGCCATACTATGAAATATAAATCAAAAATAAAAAGGAGGGTAGGCTGGGCATGGTGGCTCACGCCTGTAATCTCAGCACTTTGGGAGGCCACGGCAGGCAGACGACTTGAGGTCAGGAGTCTGAGACCAGCCTGGCCAACATGGTGAAATCCTGTCTCTACCAAAACTACAAAAATTAGCTGGGCATGGTGGCACACACTTGTAATCCCAGCTATTCAGCAGGCTGAGGCATGAGAATTGCTTGAATCCAGGAGGCAGAAGTTGCAGTAAGCCAAGATCGCGCCACTGCACTCCAGCCTGGGCAACAGAGGAGACTATGTCTTAAAAAAAAAAAAAAAAAAAGGAGGAAACTCCTGATACATGCAACAAGCTGGGTGAGTTTTCAGAGAACCATACTGAGTGAAAAACACCAATCCCCCAAAATTACATACTATAACATTCCCTTAATGTAACATTCTTGAAGTGACAAAATTATAAACAGAGAACAGATCAGTAGTTACCAGGTGTTAGGGATGGGGCAGGTTGAAAGGAAGGGATGACATGAGGAAAGTGAATGTGATTATCAAAGGGCAAGACGAGGCATCTTTGCAGTGATAGAAACGTTCTATGTCTTTGCCGGAGGTAGACATTAAAACTACCTGTGATAAAACTGCAAAGAACTAAACAGACAGACACAAATTAATTACAAGTAAACCTGGGGATATCTCAGTAAGATGTGTGGAGTGTATCAATGTCAATACCTTGGATGTGATATTTTACTACAGTTTTAAAGATGTTATCCTTCAGGGGAAATGGCTAAATCATAAACAGGTCTCTGCATTATTTCTTACAACTGTGTGTGAATCTAAAATTATCTCAAACTAAAAAGTTTAATTTGAAAAGAGTCACACTAGCTGACATTAAAAATACTGGTGAATCAGGCTGGGCGCAGTGGCTCACGCCTGTAATCCCAGCACTTTGAAAGGTAGAGGCGGGCAGATCACCTGAGGTTGAGAGTTGGAGACCAACCTGACTAACATGGAGAAACCTCGTCTCTACAAAAAATACGAAAAAAACTAGCCAGGCGTGGTGGTGCATGCCTGTAATCCCAGCTACTTGGGAGGCTGAGGTAGGAGAATCACTTGAACCTGGGAGGCGGAGGTTGCAGTGAACCAAGATCGTGCTATTGTACTCCAGCCTGGGCAACAAGAGCAAAACTCTATCTCAAAAAAAAAAGCAAAAACAAAAAACAACTAGCTGGCAAATCAAGATTAAATAACGCTATCTGCATATTTCTTTCTTATTTATTTATTTATTTATTTATTTATTTATTTATTTATTTTAGATGGAGTTTCGCTCTTGTTGCCCAGGCTGGAGTTAAGTGGCACAATCTCAGCTCACTGCAACCTCCACCTCCAGGTTCAAGTGATTCTCCTGCCTCGGCCTCCTGAGTAGCTGGGATTACAGGTGCCCACCACCACGCCCAGCTAATTTTTTGTATTTTTAGTAGAGACGGGGTTTCACCATGTTGGCCAGGCTGGTCTCAAACTTCTGACGTCAGGTGATCCACCCGCCTCAGTCTCCCAAAGTGCTGGGATTACAGGCGTGAGCCACCATGCTCAGCATTATGTATCATGTCAAACTCACCAAAATAGGGAGGGATGAAGACAGATAAAGAGGCAGTATTTTGGCCACTGTAATTTCCCATTAAAGTTGGGTAATTCACTGTCTCAGTGCTGTTTTTACTGCTGTTTGCTGGTCTTTCTGGCATTTCTATAAATAAAAAGTTTTCAAGAGCTGTAATACAGGAACTTTACCCACAAATTCTATACCAAGCAAAATTATCCTTCAAGAAAGAAAGGGAAACAGACATTCACACACAAAGGAAAACAAAAAGAATTTGTCCCCAACAGATTTACCCTTAAAGAAAGATTAAAGAAAACTCTTCAATCAAAAGAAAAGAAAATGATGAAAGAATGAATCTTGGAGCATCAGGAAGAAAGAACAAAAGAAAGAGGAGAAATATGCATTCAGAGAAAATAGATCACCCATATATAGCTGGCAGGAATGTCAGATGGTACAGCCCCCCTGGAAAATAGTTAGGCAGTTTCTCATAAAACTAAACATGCATGTCCAAACTCAGCACACTGGGTATAATAAATATGTGCAGTTTTTTACTTATTAATTACTACGGTTTGAAGGTATCTTTTCCAAAATTCAGGTGTTGCCACTGTGATCATATTAAGAAATGGGACCTTTAAGAGATGATTAAGCTATGAGGGCTCCTCCCTCATGAATGGGATGGAGGCCCTTATAAAAGAGGCTTCACACAGCATTTTGAAATCTTACCCTTCTACCTTCTGCCATGTGAGGACACAGTGCTCCTCTCTTGCAGAGGATGCAGCCCTCACCAGACAGACGAACTGGCTGGCACCTTGCTCTTGAACTTCCCAGCCTCCGGAGCTGTGAGAAATTACATTTCTGTTCTTTTTCAATCACCCTGTCTATGGTATTTTGTTACAGCAACACAAACAGACCAAGACATTAATATATCAATACAGATTTGTTTTTTAAAAAAACCTAAACATGCAATTAATATATAACCAGCAGTTGTACTCTTGGGTAATCATGTTAGAGAAATGAAAACTTCCATTTACACAAAAATTTGTATATGAATTTTCATAGCAGCCTTACTCCTAATAGTCAAAAACTGAAAAAATAGTTTCCTTCAATACATGAATGGTTAAACCATGGTACACCTATACCATGGAATAGTACTTGGCAATAAAGGAACTACTGAAACACACAACTTGGTTGAGTCTCCAGGGGATTATGTTGAGTGAAAAAAAAAACAATACCAAAAGGTTACATACTATATGCATTCAATTAAGTGATAAAATTATAGAGATGGAGATGAGATCACACTTGCCAAGGGTTAGGAATAGACAAGTGGGGAAAGGAAAAGGAGGATGGGTTTGGTTATAGAAGGGCAATACAAGCATACTTTCTGGTGATAGAACCGTTCTGTATCTTGACTATGATAGGAACATACAAATTTTCTCAAGTGATAAAATTGTTTTTAAAAAAGCCGAAAGTCAGACACACAAATGAATACAAACTGCAGCCTTATGAGATGTTACCACTGGGGAAAATTGGGGAAAGGGTATCTCTCTGTATTATTTCTTACAACTACATATGAATTTATTATGATTTCAAGATAAAACTTTTAATTTAAAAAACAGCTAACACTAATTTGCATGAAGGGTGTTTTAAAATCTAGATTGAAGAATGCTATCTGTAATATGTGTCATTTCAAACTCACCCAAATTGGGATGGATGCAGAAAGATGACAAGGCTCTACCTGGGCCCACATCTTCATTTTCCAGTAGAGCAGAGTAATTCACCACACCAGGGTTATTTGCCAGACTGGGTTCTCCTCGTGACAGACCTGCCATAGGTACTGCTGTAGTAGCGTCGGCAAATGAGATGACACCATGGGTACTTTCAGCACCTCCACTGATAAAGTTACACGGCATACCGAAACAAGGAAATGAGCCACCTTGTGCGACATATGGCTGTAATGAACGTGAGGAGACAATTCTGGGATATGATGAACTCTCACTGAGGTCTCTTTCCTGCAGTTCAGGACATGCTGCTGACTCAAGAGATGCTACAGCAGGGCTGGCCCAGGCATGGGTTTCCTGCCTTTCTGCTGGTGGTGGTGTGCTAGACTGTACCTATCCCGGGTAAGAGAACAGAATGAGTAAAGTTATTTTCTTCAGTTCCTAGACTTCAATTTTTCCATGAGACATACAATCAAAACTTTTTTGTGTAAATCCAGACGACCTCTAAAATGACACCAACCCAGTATAAATCAACTGTAACTTAAAATGAGGCTTAAAAAGTTGATTTAAAAAAAACATTCCTATGTATTTTCCTTGCAACATCATTTTCCATTGTTAAGGATAAATGCTGTACTTTGATTATATGATTTTTATTCTTCTTCAACCCTGCGTTTTATACATGATAATTACTAACATAAAAATACTAAGTGTTGTAATCTGTCAGACCTAAACTTCAGCATTCTTCCAAGGGAATTTTAGTCCCCCATCTGCTATTAAAGTAAGTAGAGAAAAGCCTTGCTAATCTCAGAGTTACTAGTTCTCTATCAGTTCTAACTGATTGGTGTCTTTAGGAGCTAGAGGTTTATCAAAGTTGTAAAAATGTTTTTGTAACACACATTTTATCAAAGGTGGTTGCTCCCAAGAACACTGCACTTCTGAAACAGCTCCACAAAGATGGTCAACTTGCATAGTGGTATTTTCAATAAGACCTTCTACATTCTATTATACTTAAAAAATAGTAGTTCATATTTCAAAAGAAAAATAACATGTGAAAACGCCATTAAGTCAAATGTTAACTGCTAGACACAACAAAAGTTCTCAAGCCATCAGAAATGTCTTGCTCCTATTCGAGGCCTGGCTGTAGATGGCATAAAGCCAGGAGGCTGAGCTCAGGAGCCCCAACATCCCCTCTGCTGCTCTACCCCATGCAGGCACTAAGGATGCTCTAATGCCAGCAAATGAAAGTGCCGCTATGCCTCTACACCAGCACATTTATGATGAAGACACTGCACATCAAGGAAGGTGCTATTTTACGGAAGAAATCCTCAAATCTGCTAAAAGGCCAAAGACTCACTTTATAATGTTCATATGTAACATATATGTTCATCTATGTACAAATATGAAGTCTATATTATATAGAGAGTGAGTGTTCCACTCCAGAAAGAACAGTAAGCCAAATATAACAGATATGACTTTTGGCTTCAAACATTTTAAAATCATGCAGTCAACAACTAATCTTACAAAACCATTGAGTACACATCCCCTACGTGCCAATCAAGCATATATGACTGATAAAAATCTGAGAATTCCTCTTGAAATACACAGAAACTTTGGGCAAAAAAAAAAAAATACACTTAAACAAAGGGCCAGAAACATTTCCTCATTCATTCATTCAACTAAACCTTTATTGACGGCCTACCATCTGGCAGAACTACTTTGCTATGTATTGGAAACATGGACTGAAAGAAAGCTCCTAGCCGGGCACGGTGGCTCATGCCTGTAATCCCAGTACTTTGGGAGGCCGAGAAAGGCGGATCACTTGAGCTCAGAAGTTCGAGACCAGCCTGAGCAATATGGCAGAACTCCATCTCTAACAAAAACAACAACAACAACAACAAAACCTCCGTTTCCAGAAAAAAAAATACAAAAAAGTAGCCAGGCATGGTGGCATGCACCTGTAGTCCCAGATACTTGGGAGCCTGAGGTGGGAGAATCACCTGAGCCTGGGAAGTTGAGGATACAGTGAGCCACGATTGCACCACTGCACTCCTGCCTGGGCAACGGAATGAGACCCTGTCAAAAAAAGCTCCTGTCCTAGAGGAACTGCCATCTCAGCTGGGAGAGAGACAAGTAAAGAGAGGATTCCAATAGACAAAGTGATTAGCAGCCTGGAACAGTGGTTTGCAAAGTGGTCCACAGACCAGTAGCATCAACATCACCTGAAGCTCATTAGAAATGCCAAATTTCAGGTTGTACCCCAGACCTCTGGAGTCAGAAACTCTGAGAGTGGCAACAGTGGTCTATGTTTTCACAAGCCCCCAGGTGATTCTGATGCTCCCAGTAAGAACCACTGGGCTATGGCAATGAGGTAAATAGTGCAGGCTCTAGGGGAACATGGTTGGGGTCAAATACTAGAGTCCAGCCACTTATTGGCTGTGTGACCCTGGGCAAGTTACTTAACCTCTCTGTGCTTCAATGTCCTCATGTAGGGAATTGGAATGAAAATCTCTCTCAGGGTTCTCTTGAGGACAAGAACCGTGCTATAGTATTAGGTTAATATTAACAGTAACAACACTACACTATGCCCGGTCCAACAGTGCTCAGTGGTCTCTTCCTGTTACTATTGTTATTACTAGCACCATGACACAGACAGGAACAGGAGGCTAAGCATGCACAGAAGAGTGGGCCTAACCCAGGCTGGCAGTCATGGAGAGCTTTTCAGAGGAGGTGAGGTCTGAAGTGAGAATTAAAACATGAGAAGGTGCTTGCCAGGTGAGGATGCATGGAAGGGTTTACAGGGTAGAAGAAACAGTAGGTTCAAAAATACCCAGAGAGAAAAACAGGAAGCCAGATGTGAAGACAGCGAGTATGAATGACATTCCAGGAGCGGGGCTGTCATGGGAAGGAGAGAGTGAGGATGACAGCAAAGAAGGGATGGGAGGCAAGAGAAGCGGCTTCTCCAAGCTGTGGGAGAACTTGTAGAGGGGAAGGAGGGACAGGGACTGGAGCCAGAGGAGAGAGAGAGGGACGCCCGATGGGGGGCAGCTCTGAGTTCAGGGAGGGGACTAGATGCAGAAAGCAGCAAGGATGTCAGCCCTGGTCACTAGAATGGTCGGGAAGGGGTCAGAAGAAGGGCGGGGATGGGGGCAGTTGGTTGGCTGTGGGGACAGATATGAGGAGTTGGAGGAGAGGACTGCCCCAGGCACTCCACTGTCTCCAGGAGTGAAGAGGCAGGACTAGGGGGCTGAGATAGGCTGGGGACTGCCAACAGAGGGGGTCCTCCTCTGCTCCCAGCTAAGCAGGACAGAGGTGGACTCAAGAGGGAACTGGGATGAAAGAACAAGGCATGCTGCAGCGCCACCCCTATGATCTAGAACCGGCAGGGGAGGAAAGAGCCAACTCCTTAGGAGCAATGGAGAGGAGCCATTGGGGCCATTTCAGGCTGACTGTGGCCCTAGGCACCTCCTCCCACAGATACTGCCTCCCACCCCAGTGTGCAGGCTTGCCGAGGGGGACCCTGGTCTAGCAGTGCAGGGGAGGCAGGCTAGGGAGAACCTGCTCCCTACCTTCTCAGCTCGCCTCTGTACCCACTTCCCCCCAAGACTGCATGTGTCCCTTGGAAGCCCTCCACTTCTGTTCTCCCCCATGATCATGATAAATGCCCAAACAATTTCACTTCCCAAAATATTTTAGCTCATTCCATTCAAGAAACATTATACACGGTAAGAAACATTTTTTTTTTCTAATAAACCTTCACTACCTCTGGTTTATAACACAAAATCCCCAGTAATCACATATTTACCAACATGGTGATTCTTATAAGGAAAAGAAGGAAACAAAATGCTTCAGAGCTCATTGTCTAATGAAAAGAAGCATACAGATTCAGGAGAGAGAGATATTTCCTTAAGCCTGAGTTCAGAGTAATTCTACAGTGTATACGAAGACTGAAAAAGAATCCAAATTGCTTTCTTGGAATATATTTGGCAATGAGGATTTAATATAATATAAAGATTCAAAGTCTGGTATACACTCATTAATGATACTTCCACCTTCTTCACAATCAAGTATTTATGTTACTGTCTAAGGAAAGTTTATTAATAAACCAAAAGGAAATATGAAAGAAAGAAAAGTTCAGGACTTCTATTTCATTTTCAAGAAGCACCTAAGGCCTATTTGTGATATCAAAGGACCTTTGCCGATTGCAAATCCTACAACTACAGGAAAAGATATATTTGCAGAATTGTGTTCTCTTTAACCCAGCTACACTTAAGACACCATTTTCATCAAGCTTAACCATTTATATACTTTGTGGTAGATAAACGAGTTTTCTAGCACCAGAACTGCTTTAAAAGCAAGTGTTTCTAACCATGAACAAAGAACCAAATGTTAAATGGCTTTTGATTTTCAAATAAACCAACAGTGACACTCTGTGGACAAGACAGGAAACACTTAACCACCTATATTTCTTGATAAATTAATCTGTAAATCATCTTAAAATATTTTTTGGAGTAAGGCAGGGTATAAATAAGTAACTAAACAGTAAATAACCATTATATTTCTGAAAAATTATTCTAAGGATGAATTGTGGGCCATAAAAATAATTTTAACATAAACATACCAAGTAGTTATCTACTTCTTTGTTTCAAAATACATAATAAAAAATTAACTGAATTAGCCCAGCATTACAAACTTATTAGACAGCCAAAATTATATCAAATTATAATAGATATTAATAATTGTAAATACAATATTACCATCTTACCCTTGTATAGTGCTTCATGCTTTCCAAAGTGCTTTCAGATAATTATGTACAAAACCATGACACTGGGCAGATAATTAGCATTATCCCCAAAAATGAAAACATTGAGGCTGATAGAAGTTAAGAATTGCCTACACTACTTACGTGGCACTGATATCCACATCCTTATGTAGGTAAACAAATACATTTTCTGTTAAGCACAATTATATATAGTTTAATAATCTATTTTATTCAACTTCAGAGATCAAAAAGCACAGGAGAATATAGTGGTAATGTAAAACAGTACGACCACTTAGAAAAACTGGCAATTTCTCATAAACTTTCAATTACCCCATTACCTAATACTTCCACTCCCAGGTATTTACCCAAATTAAATGTAAACATAGGTTCACAAAGAGACTGCCACAGCGTGTTCATAGTCACTTTATTCCTAATAGCCCAAAATTGCAAACAATCCAAATGTCCATCAAAAGAATGGATAGGCCGGGTGCGGTGGCTCATGCCTGTAATCCCAGGGCTTTGGGAAGCTGAGGCAGGCAGATCACCTGAGGTCAGGAGTTTAACACCAGACTGGCCAACTTGGTGAAACACCGTCTCTACTAAAAATACAAAAATTAGCCAAATGTGGTGGTGGGCGCCTGTAATTCCAACTAGTCAGGAAGCTGAGGTAGGAGAATCGCTTGAACCCGGGAGGTGGAGGTTGCAGTGAGCCGAGATGGTGTCACTGCACTCCAGCCTGGATGACATAGCAAGACTCCGTCTCAGAGGGAAAAAAAAAATGGGTAAGCAGATTATGAGCATTCATATGACAGAATACCACTCAGCAATGAACAGGAATGTAATATTAATACTATGAAACAAATCTCCAAAACATTATTCTAAGGAAAAAAGACTATGACCCAAAACAGTACATACCGTACAATTCTATTTATGTGAAGTTCTAGAACAGGCAAAACTCATCTAGGATGGAAAAAAACATCAAAATGTATTTCCCCCAAAGTTAAGGGAGATGGGGACTTACTGGGAAGAGGTCCTAGGTCACTTTCTAGGGTGATGAAAATGTTCATTACCATCTTTTTTTTTTTTTTGAGACAGAGTATTGTTCTGTCACCCAGGCTGGAGTGCAGTGGCACAATCTCGGCTCAATGCAACCTCCGCCTCCCAGGTTCAAGCGATTCTCCTGCCTCAGCCTCCCAAGTAGCTAGGATTTCAGGCATGCACCACCACGCTCAGCTAATTTTTTTGTATTTTTAGTAGAGATGGGGTTTCACCATGTTGACCAGGCTGGTCTCAAACTTCTGACCTCAGGTGATCTACCTGCCTTGGCCTCCCAAAGTGCTGGGATTACAGGCGTGAGCCACCACACCCGGCCAAAATGTTTATTATCTTCATGGAGTGTAAGTATACACATTTTTCAAAACTCACTGATTTGTGCATTTGACTGCATGAAATTCAACTCCATTTCTTAAAAAGAAATACAGTAGAATGAAAAGAACAAAGAGAGATTTTCACTTTAATAAACAAACCATAATATCTACCTCTGGAGTAGATAATCTTCCTCTTTTTGGCAAATCCACTTCCTCTGAGTTGTAACTGTATCTTCTTAAATGTACTGGGCATTTGATCTGTGAAATGGTTTGGTCACCATGGGCTACTGCGAAGCAATGCATAAAAAAGTTATTTCATACACTACTCTCTTAATAACCTTAATACGGATATGTTCTCAGAATGCTAACTCAAATTGAATTGGACTTTGGGTTGAATTTTAGAGTGACAAAACAAGAATTCTTCCATAATCAATTTAGAGTAACTCTTTTAAAACTGAAGGGCTATATTACCCATGACTAGGAATAAGAATCAAATCAAATGCAATTGCAAACTGTGAAGTGACTGCTTAGTAACTTAAAGCCTACACAGTAAATGCTGGAAACAAATGAACAAGAGAATGCAAGGGCTAACTGCTTTTGTAAAGGAGCCCCAAAAGGCCCTTGACTAAGGAGACGGCATTGTGTCCAAAATGTAAGCCAGGAATCTATTCTAGATCGGACCCCCACCACTATGTGGGCTGGGCAGACCACTAGAGACACCACCTCCTCATCTGCCAGGTTAACATCAGTTGAGATGATCTCTAAGGTTCATTTCAGCTTTCAAGTTAGGATTGCCTTATTAAAGTTTATATTAATCCTAAATAAATGGATGTGAAATGTAAGCCAAACAATCTAGAATTAGGAAGGTCTGGTTATGGCTCTGAGTCACTTAACTACGGAACTAGAAGAAGACATTGGCCGCAACAGTATTGGATTATATCTTGTACTAGAGATTTGCTTTGAAAGCCTGCATCACAGTGACTGGGAGGGACACTTTAATGAAAGAGCTACTTCACTTAAACCTTCCTGAGCCAGGGCAGTAATGAGAGGCACAATTAAGGGATTCAGGTTTCATCTCTTTCCTGTTCCCTTTCATTCTATAGTGGAGATCCTAATGACCAAGGACCCAAAAGAGAGAAATCAAAAGGGGATAAAGAAAATGGGAGAACTCTCAAGTTAGATAAACACAGACTAAAGTTATATAGAAATATCAAGTTATAAAATACCTCCAGGCTGGACCCAGTGGCTCACACCTCTAATCCCAACATTTTAGGAGGCTGAGGCAGGATGATCACTTGAGCTCAAGAGTTGGAGACCAGCCTGGGCAACATAGCAAGATATCATCTCTAATAAAAATTTTTTAAAAATTAGCTGGCATGGTGGCATGCACCTGTCATCCCAGCTACTGGGAAGGCTGAGGTGGGAGAATTGCTTGAGCCCAAGAGGTTGAAGCTGCAGTAAGCTGTGATCGTGCTACTGCACTCCAGCCTGGGTGACAGAGTGAGACCCTGTCTCAAAAAATATAATAATAATAATAAAAGATACAGTAAGATACCTCCAAATTGAGCTGTAACTTCAACCAAATTTTATTTTTTAAACTGTTTGAGTTTTTTCTGACTATAATACAAGCTATAAGTAATTAAATTCTGATGTATTCAAACAAAGGAACTACACAGCAATGAGAATAAACCAACTATTGCAGCACATAGCAAGAAGTAAAAAAAGCCAGACACAAGCCGGGTGTGGTGGCACGTGCCTATAGTTCCAGCTACACAGGAGCTGAGGCAGGAGGATCAATTGAGCCCAGGAGTTCAAGTACAGCATGGGCAACACAGCAGGACCCTGTTTCTGAAAAAAAATGCCAGATATAAAAGAGAGTATAGCATATGATTCAATTGGTATAAAACTCAAAAACAGAAAAAAGTAATCAATGGTAGGAGAAGTCAGGATAGTGGTTACCTTACAAAGAGTAGTAGTGACTGAAAGGGGTTGGATAAGATTCTAGGGAGCTCATAACCTTATATTTCTTGGTATGGGTGCTGGTTATATGCATGTATTAGTTTGAAAATTATTTAAGCTGTATATTTATGATGTGTGCATATTTTGTATGTCATATAACTTCCATAAAAAGTTCACCTATGGCCGGGCGTGGTGGCTCATGCCTGTAATTCCAGCACTTTGGGAGGCTGAGGTGGGCGGATCGCTTGAGGCCAGGAGTTTGAGACCAGCCTGGCCATGATGTAAAATCCCCTCTCTATTAAAAATACAAAAATTAGCTGGGTGTGGTGGTGCACGTCTGTAATCCCAGCTACTTGGGAGGCTGAGGCAGAAGAGTCGCTTGAGCCCGGGAGGCAGAGATTGCAGTGAGCCGAGATCACACCACTGCACCCCAACCTGGGCGACAGAGAGAGACTCCATCTCAAAAAAAAAAAAATTCACCTAAAAAATTCAGCTCATTATAAATAACTCAGAATCGAAATAAAAAGAGAAAGCAATCCATCAGCAATAAATATTGTAACCTTTAAATACATTTATCTTACTCATATATTTTTTAAGCAATTTTGTGTGTCATTTATATTTTTAAAATATTTTTAAATGCCTGCATAATATTCCATTTTATGGTTGTCCAGAGGTTCTGTTATCTGTTTTCCACTGTAGGACATTTATATGGCTTCTAATTTTTCACTATTTTGATATAATGATGTGTATACATTGAAAGGCAAACATTTATCATTTTAATCATTTGTAAGTATACAATTCAGTGGCATTAAATATATTCAGAGACTTGTATAACGATCATCACTATCTATACCCAAAATATTTCTATCATCTCCAACATATACTCTGTACCCATTACACTCCCCCTCACCTCAGTCCCTGGTAACCTCTATTCTACTTTCTGTCTCCATGATATCAGATGTTCTATAACACACTAAAGAAGTATCCTGCTAGCCCTGCTTATAGTTTTAAAACCAAAACAGATAAGTGATATCAAACTGCTTTTTTGGTATCAGATCAGGGAGCAAACCATAACCTGTGAACCAAATCCGCTTTGCCACCTGCTTTTGTATAGCTCATAAGCTAAGATGTTATGGAGTTTTTTTATATTTCTAAATTATGGGGGGGGGAGAATATTTCCTGAAATGGAAAAATTATAGGAAATTCAAATTTCAACGACCATAAAGTTTTATTGAAACACAGCCACAACCATCTGTTTACATATCAGCTGCTTTCATGCTATAAAGGCAGAGTTAAATACTTAAAGCAGAGACCTTATGGCCTGTGAAGCCTAAAATATTTACTATCTGGCCCCTTACAGAAAAAATGTACCAGTCTCCAACATAAGCAATAACATTTCCATGTTTTGAAGAGAAGAAAATCCAATTCTCTAAGCAAAGGGTAAAGAATAAATTGCCATATAGCTAAGGAAGAAATATTCCAAGGAGTTAACGTCTCATGACTCTCTGTACAAGTGAGGATGTGGAGGGTCTCACATTTCCTAGAGAGCCATTCAAAGGACTAGTGGCTATAGCAGTTCTGGTTGCAGGACTGCACTTTCCATGGGGTCTTGGACGCTAATGTAAATTTCAAATTCCAATTGTTTATTGTTGGCATGTAGTACAGTGATTAACTTTTGTATATTAACCTGTTTCCTGCAATGTTGCTATAATCACTTATGACTTCCAGGAGATTTTTGTTGATTCTTTGAGACTTTCTACATAGATAATCATGCCACCTGCTCCACGGACTCTTGACTCAAGCTGTTATTCCTAGAAGTTCAGTTTTAGCTTTTTACTTTTGCATTGCCACCAAATTGTTATAATTATAGTTGCCAGATATAAATAATTGTTCAAAGAGAATATATTCTCCCCAACGCTTCCTGAGACTGTCTCACACAGAACAAAAGAGACATGGCAAAGGTTAAGTGAAGGGAAAACGCAAGCAGAAGTAAACATTGTGGTATTACCACGAAGCTAAGCCCTCTGGTCATAACTAATTATTGTAAAGGTTACAGGAATATTTAAGCAATTTACTGGAAATGGGGACCAGAGAGCAAAATTTTGCCAAAGAGGAAATTTAACAAAATTACCATATGACATTTGGAGTGGACGGTGATGGTCATCACTGCCGCCTGGAAAATTTGGTTGTGTGGCTGTGTCATCAGTGGGATTATCTGCTGTGTCATAAGTGGAATCATTTGCTATGTCATCAGTGGAATTATCTGCTGTTTCAGAATCTTCCACCATCTCAATACTGCACTCATTGTTATCATCACTGTCGTCAACAGTTACAATAACAAAATCTAAGAATAAGCAAAGAGAAAGATTAGATTCAATACCACATTAAATAAACAGTTTCTTGAGGAAGCTACCTTATAAAGTTATAGATTGTTTAAAAAACATATCTTAGCTGAAAATTTGTATTATGTATTTTTATATCTGTAATCATTACAAGTTAGCTAGTGAACCAATAGTAGGAAGTTTTGAAGTATGTATATACATATGTATGCATATACACACATAGACTACTATCTCTAGTACTTCCAATTTCGTAGAGCAATAAATTTCTTCTCATTTAAGAAATGTGGCCAGCTGGCCCATGCCACAGTGTTCAATGATATCCTTTTAACTTAAATGATGCAACTGGTGTTAAGTAGACATACTTGTGGTGACCATGATGTTCTAAACTTGTTCTCTAAAAACTAGTATTAGTGTCTATGATGACTGATAATGCAGAAATAAAGTGCAAAAGTAAATGTTGCTATGAAATGAATTAAATCTGAATCTCACAAAATGTGAAATAGGTAACCACAAATATACCAGATGTGAAATATCAACTTGGTAAACCATTTTAATGAACACGAAAACACATTATGCAAAATGTCTAAGATCAAAATAAGCTTTATTTCTTAAATTGGCCTGAAAAAGAACACATTTAAGCTTGAAGTATTTACTCAGAGATCACATTTAAACTACATCATAACTTGGATTTATTCTATTTATTTCAAAAAGACTAATGCAGGAGAATAAAATAATGAGCTAGTGTGAGGGGCATGTGATGATTTGAAAATGGTACTAAATTAAGAATCACAGAATGAAGGTTCCAATTCAGGCTCTGTAATTATCCAGAGGTATGACCATTGGGCTAGGTAAATTGACTCTTTTGCCTCTGTTTTCTCACCCATAAAAAGTGGGGTTTTTTTAAGAGTCACTCTGAAGTCTACTTAATAGTCTTCATGGAAAAAAAAAATATGACATTAGAAACCACTTAACCATCTAAACCAAAGTATTAAATAAACAAAAGCTTAAATAAATTATGGTATTTCCCTGAGCTGGAATGGTATATTGCCAATAAGAAGTGTGTTCTCAGGCAGGGCGCGGTAGCGAATGCCTGTAATCCCAGTACTTTGGGAGGCCAAGTGGGGCAAATCGCTTGAGCTCAGAAGTTCGAGACCAACCTGGGCAACATGGCAAAATTCCGCCTCTACCAAAAAATAATGATGATGATAATAATACAAAAATTAGCCATGCGTGGTGGCATGCGCCTGTAGTCCCAGTTACTCGGGAGGCTGAGGTGGGATGGCTTGCACCCGGGAGGCTGAGGTTGCAGTGAGCCAGGATCCCGCCACTGCACTCCAGCCTGGGCGGCAAAACGAGACC